ATCTGCTTTGACATAATGTCTATGTAAGTCTTTCCCCCATTTTTTTCTTGAGTATTTTTGTTCCTACAGAGTTTTGAAAGTTTTTTATAGATTCTGGATACAAGTCTTATCCTTTATATATTTTGCACATATTTTCTCCCAGTCCATGGCTTGTCTTTCATTGTCTTAATGGGGCCTTTTAAAGAGCACACATTTTTTATTTTGATAGAGCCCAGTTTATCAATTTGTGCCTTTATGGATCTTTGCTTTTGGTGTAACCCAAATCACAAAGGTTTTTTCGTGGGTTGTCTTCTAGAATTGTTAAGGTTTCGGTTTCCATTTTGACCTCTGATTCATTTTGAGTTAATCTTTGTATATGGTACAGGTATGGCTGAAGTTCCTTTTCATTTTTTTTTTTTTTGCATATGAGTATACCACTGTTCCAGCTCCATCTATTAAAAATACTGTCCGTTCTCCATTGTACTGCCTTTGTACTCCTGTTGAAAATTAGTTGTCCTTATAATGTGTGGGTCTGTTTCCAGAAACTCTCTTTGCTCCATTGATCTGTTGGTCCATTTTGACACCAATACCACATTGTTTTGATGACCATAGTTTTACTGTAAATCTTAAAATTCGGTAGTGTTAGTCCTCCAAATTTTTTTTAACTTTAAAAAATAATTCTAATTATTCAGCATTTCTACATAAATTTTAGAATCAGAGTTTCAATTTTTTTTTTAAACTGCTGTGGTTTTGATTGTATTGAATCTATAGATGAATTTGAGGAGAATTAATATCTTAACAGTTTTGAGCCTTTCAATTCTTGATCACAATACATATCTTCATTTCTCAGCAGCATTTTGTAGTCTTCACTGAACAGGTCCTGGGCATCTTTTGTCAGATTTATCCCTAATTATTTCATATTTTTCATGCTATTGTATATGTCATTTAAATTTTTTTTTCAATTTCCAACAAGTATGGCTACCATATAGAAGTACAGATAATTTTGTATATTTACCTTGTGTGCTCCAGACTTGCTAAACTTACTTAATAATTCCAGTAGTTTTTGGTTCCTGTTTTGTTTTGCTTTCTGTTTTTGTTTTTTTGGGGTTTTTTCTTTTGTTTTGTCGATTCTATTGCACTTTCTGGGTACACAGTAATGTCTTTTGGGGAATAAAGGCAGTTTTACTTCTTCCTTACAAATCTGCTTGCCTTTTATTTATTTTTCATGCTTTATTACCCTGGCTATACAATGGCTATCGTACAATGTTAAATAGAAGTAGAGAGAGCAGACATGTTTATCTTGCTGAACTTGCTGGGAAAACAGTCTTTCACCAAGTATAATATTAACTGTTGTTTTGTCGTAGATAGCTTTTATCAGATGAATAATTTCCCTTCTATTCCTAATTTGCTAAGGTTTTTTTTTTTTTTTTTGAATGGGTGTTGAATTTGGTTAGACGACTTTTCTGTATCTGTTGAAATGATTATATGGTTTTTCTTTTTTTAAATTTTAGTATAGTGAATTACATTGATTTTCTAATGTTAATGCAGTCTTAATTGGTAAAATAAACCTCATTTGGTCATACATTGTTGAATTCAATTTGCTAAACTCTTGTTGGGATTTTTTCCAGCTATGTTCAAAAGTGATGCTGGATTTTTCAGGCTTTTTTCCTCTAATAATGTTTTTGTCTGTTTGTTTTTTTTTTTTTTTTTTTTTTTTTTTAAATCAGGAGAATGCTAGTTTCATAGATTCAGTTGAGAAGTTTTCCAACCTTTTAACTACAAATTCAACTTCTTTAATAAATATAGGGCTGTTAATCTGACCTCTTTCTTGAGTGAGCTTTGGTAATTTTTGTCTTTCGAAGACTTTATATTGGCATAAAATTGCTTATTGCCCTTTTATTATCTGTAGAAACCAGGCAGTGTCTCCATTCTCATTCCTGATATTGATAATTTGTGTCTTCTCTCTGATTATTCTGTTTAGAAATTTATCAATTTTATTGATCCTTTCAAAGTTCTACCTTTTAATTGATTTTTCTATGTCATTAATTTTTTTAAATTCTTTATTTAAATTCAATTTTGTTAACATATATTGTATTCTTAGTTTCAGGGGTAGAATTTAGAGATTCATCAGTTGCATAAAACATGCAGTGCTTATTATATCAAATGCCCTCCTTAATGCCCATCACCCAGTTACCTCATCCCCCACCCCTCCCCCTTCCAGCGACCCTCAGTTTGTTTCCTATAGTTAAGAGTCTCTTATGGTTTGCCTCCCTCTCTGTTTTTATCTTATTTTATTTTTCCTTCCCTCTTCCTATGTTCATCTATTTTGTTTCTTAAATTCCACATATGAGTGAAATTATGTGGTATTTGACTTTCTCTAACTTATTTCACTTAGCATAATACCCTCTGGTTCCAAACCACATTGTTAAAAATGGTAAGATTTCATTCTTTCTGATGGTAAGTGATATTCCATTGTGTATATATACCACATCTTCTTTATCCATTCTTCTGTTGATGGACATCTGGGCTCTTCCCATATGCTGACTATTATGAACATTGCTGCTATAAATATTGGGGTACATGTGCCCCTTCAAATCACTATGTTTGTATCCTTTGGATAAAGACCTAGTAGGGTCATTGATTTTCTTGGTGTTCTTTATTGCTTTTCTTCTATTAAGTCTTAATTTGCTCTTTTATTTCCAGTTGCTTTAAGTGACAGCTCTGTATGTCATATGTCTTTAAACTAGGCAATAATTATAATTATTATTATAATGACGTTTACTGCCAGTTCTAACATCTCTCAGTTCTTGGTTGATTTTACTTGCATGATTTTTTCTCATTACAGGTCATATTTTCCTGCTTATTGGAAAGCCTGATAATTTTTTATTCAATGCTGGACAGTGTGAATTCACCACGTTGCGTGCTGAATGTTTTTGTATTCATACAACTATTCTTGATGTATGTTCTGGGACACAATTAAGTTCATTGGAAACCGTTTTATCTTTTCAGATAGGGCTTTTAGGATTTGTTAAATGGGAATAGAATCGTGTTCAATCTAGTGCTAATTATTCCTCACTACTGAGATAGCACCCTTCCATGTACTCTATCTAATGCATCATGAACTGTGAGGTTCAAGTCTGACTGATAAGAGCAGGCAGTCTATTCAACTCTGCATGAAGAAGATAAACCTTTCTTTCATCTTTTCACCTGGTTCTTTCTCCAGTCCCAGTTTCCTCACATGCCTCTGCTGATCGGTACTCATCTGAGTCCTCAAGGGGGACCCTCTGCAGATCTCCAGAGTTCTCTTTGTGCATCTCTCTCCTCTGAGGCTCTCTCTCCTGCAACCTCTAGCTGCTTTGGACTCCCTGAGCTCTTAGTTCCTTGTCCTCAATTTAAAATGCCTGCCATCCCGTAACAAAGTTCCCCTTCCCTGATTGAACTGTTCCCTTCATTCGGGTCTCTGCTCAGATGTCACCTCCTCAGAAAGACCGACTCAGATTAATACAGCTCTCGCTCCCCTCTCGCTCTGTTTTATTATAGATTTTACCTTTTCATCATCTGTCTCTAAGCGCAGTTCTGATCTTACATATGTGCCCAACAGGATTGTATGCTCATAGGTATCAAATAATATACACAAAAATGTTCATAATGTCACAACCCTGGAAACAGTCCAGACGTTTATCAGTTACTACACAGCGATGAAAATTAATAAACTGTAGTGCGTGCAGCAACACGGATGAATCCCAGAAATGTGATGTTGACAAAAGGAGCCAGATGCAGACTATGTCATGCTGTTGAAAAAGGCAGATCCATACTAGAATTTTCGAATTTGAAATTGTGGTTCCCTTTTGGATGTGGGTTTGACTCAGGTGGGTGTCCCAGAGTAGCCTTCTGAGGTTCTTTCTTTTGAGCCAGATGGAGAAATTGGTTGAGTGAAGTCAGTTGAGTCAGATATTGTCTCCTCTGTAAAAATCTTCCCTAATCCCCCGGATGGTCAGTCACTGTCTCTTCTCTGACCCAACCTTAGAACAATTACATTGTAATTACTACCATTTTCAAGGGAAGGAGTCATTTTATTTTGGTTTTATTTTTGTTGTTGTTGTTGTTGTTGTTTTACTTTAAATGTCTTTAACTGGCTGGTGTAGAGCTGATCTCTGGAGACATTTTCTGGTGGAAGGAATGAGCAAATGAAGCCACACAAACGAGCCATGGGCTTCTGCAGCTCAAGCCTGTGTCCTCTCCCTCATTGCCTGTTTCTAGTGGAGGGCAGAGAGATTACCTCACGGTGTATCTCTCCAGAAACGCCAGATACAAGGTTTGTTGGCACCCATTTGTCATTAGAGAAGCAAAGTCTTGAGACTCTGAGGTAACCTGGTGGTCTGAGACAGAAGGTAGGATGGGGTCGGACCCCTTAGTTTTGGCAACCGTGCAGCTGTAGGAACGAAGCTGCCTCTGCCTTCTTTCCGGTTATGAGTAGCCGTAGGGGCCAGGACATAGTGTATTCAAGAGGCTTTGGTATGAATCTTCTCCCCACACGTTTATGGAAGAATCCAATAAAGTTATCTTATACCATTAAAAATCAATGTGCTTCATGGGGTTTCTTCCCCTGCCACAAAAATTGAGTTAAACCAAAGTGCTGTAACTTAACAGAGTACTCTTTTCTCCTTTTCATTTTGAAAATTTCAAGAAGCATGAATTTGGAAAGGATAATAAATGAGGATAAAGGGCGCTTCCAGAGCAAACTGTGTAGATCTTATGAAGGAAAGTTCCTTCAGAGTTTGTCCTTACTGGAAGGAACTGGCCCTCAGCAATGTGATAGCTGAGTTCCAACTGATGAGTTTACATTTCTGTGCCAGGCTTTATTAAGGAACCCAGGCTAGCATCTGTTCACTCTGAAAAGAATTCTGGCAATTCAGCAGTGTCTTAAAATTTTAAATGTATATTTTGATTAACACATTTTTATTGGCACATATATTCTTTCCCTCTTTTGCTAATACTACTACGAATGTGTCTGTCTGCAGCTGTGGTGCTCCCATTCAAGTTTCCGAGGTGAAGCTGCTTTCTTTCTCATCGGGGCAGCTCACTGTTTTCCTCCCTGCCGAGGTGAAGGCCATAGGGACAGAGAACGATCACGTCCTGCCTCTGCAAGAGTTGGCCATGAGGAGTCTCCATCACACCTACCACAGTTTTCTTAAAGGTACACGGGACTTTCTCTCTTTCCACCTCTTACTGGGTGACCTTAGAAGTTGTGCTCCATGCTCCCTGTTGGGGTGTCCATGTTTTTTATTGTGCTAAAATACACATAACATAAAATTTACCATTTTAACCCGTTTTAAATTCTCTGTTCAGTGACCTTAAGCACATTCACATTGTTATGCAGTGAGACTTTTTTTTTTTTTTCTCATTTAAAAAGATGGTTTTAATATTTTATCAACACTGATCCCTTCGACATCCCCTACAGACACAGAGGAGCATTCGCCACAGTGTGGTCTTCAGTCATAAAGGACCAAGGTTAAAAGTTAAACCTTGTGGCTTAAAGGAAGGAAATTGGTGTTTGGGCACATATCTGGTGGAAGTGAGAAGGTGGCAGAGGCACTTTCTTGAGCAGGAAAAAAAAAATGCCAAAGGCTTATCCTTAAAGCAGAATTGGGACAAGTTTTCGCCATGCAGGCTCCTCACATCTGAGAAATTACATACCTAGAGGGAGGAAATACCAGGGGTCTCGGGCAGTATTTCCACAGCATGTTTCGAGAGGATTCGACGGTATGTAGATTTCATGGGCGTGGTGCTGTGGATCTCCAAGATGCTTTAAGAGAGCAGTAGGCAATTTTAATAAGATACATTCCAAATGTTTGAAAAACTGCTAAATGTTTAATCTTTGCTTTAAAAAAAAAAAAAAATAGGGGCACCTGGGTGGCTCAGTGGGTTAAAGCCTCTGCCTTCGGCTCAGGTCATGATCCCGGCATCCTAGGATCGAGCCCCGCATCGGGCTCTCTGCTCTGCGGAGAGCCTGCTTCCTCCTCTCTCTGCCTGCCTCCCTGCCTGCTTGTGATCTCTCTCTCTGTCAAATAAATAAATAAAATCTTTAAAAAAAATAAAAAAATAAAGATCCATTCAAAAACATCTCCTATTAACCTTCTAGGAATGTCCAACACAAAGTTATTTTTTAATACTAAAAAGAAAACTGTAATTATTCATCTCTGGGTAAATTCCATTTTTATAAATGGTCATTGATAAAGTCCAGACAGATGTAAATGATGATGAGATCATTTGTATTTCCTTCCCAAAGTCAGTAATTTTTAGGTTTCACCTCATTGTGACCATTTTCCTCTCTGTCTTCTGGATGTGGACCATCTGTGGCAATCCAGTGGACACTTGTGCTCAAGATTGCCTGGGCCACTGGGATGTTTTGCTTTAAACGTTTCTTTTGTATAGCTCAGGCCAGACGGACAAGGAGGCAGCCTCTATCAATTTAGATAGTTCACGGGAGTGAAACAAGGAAAAGCTTGGTTTCCTTATTTTTCTTTTACTTTGATTTGTTTCCCATTTTCGTTCTTTTCGGTAAACATAATTTAGCTTGAGTAATGCTCAATGCCCAATCGATTTAGGAAGAATTTAATGAAAGTCAATGTTCGTCTTTGTACAGTCCTTTTTTATTCTCCGTCTCCCATAGGAAGTTGTACAAACCCTCTCTGGGTAAATTAATACCTTTTTAAAATCTTTGTTCATAAAGAATATTGGGTCTTAATTCTTTTCTTGCTTCTACCTCAGGATAGCTTCTGTTTGCTCTTAAAAGAGTAGATTTGGGTTTTTCTCTTAGTATCAAAAAAGTAATTCAGTGCCTATCATATAACAATATTTTCACCATGCAATACTTTTTAACTGAATTGACTTAGTAACAAAGAAACATATTTTAAGCCTAGTTTAAGGAAATCTGATTTTTTTTTTTTTAATTCATGCCTGATTTTTTCTCTTGTGTTCCAGATTTGAACTTTCTGTCTCCAATCTCCTTACCCAGAAGTCTCCTGGAACTGCTGCACTGCCCCCTGGGGCACTGTCACCGGTGTAGTGAGCCCATGTTTACGATTGTCTACCCCAAGCTCTTTCCCTTGAGAGAGACGCCGATGGCAGGGCTGCACCAGGGGTAATCATGCCTAAGTGGGCACCAGGGCTTACACCTGGGCGGGGTGGAGGCCATGCATGAAAGTATTGTTAAGTCAGCAGCTGTCAAGGTGCGTACAGTGCTTCCTGAGATACAGCTGAACGACACAAAAGCACATTTTCAGCATCACGAGAAAACTGGACTTCCCTTTATTACATTTTTGATCATATACAGAACAGTTTTATTGTATATATGATTTAGAATAGCTCATTCTTTGTAAGGAGCGCTTTCCTGCTTTTCCCCTGTTCACAATAGGCTTCAGGCAATAAGGAATGTAAGAACAAAATCTTTGTTGTATAATGGGACCAGCCCAGCCCTTCTATTTAATTGGCGTGGCTAACAGAAAGTGCATGGTGAACATCGTGCCTGCGTGTGTGTGTGTGTGTGTGTGTGTGTGTGTGTCTGTTTCTGTTTTGAATTTCTAACACTTCCAAATGCCATTCTCTTGCCACTCTCTGTTTCTTGGCACAGTGCCTTGAATTTGCTAAGAATGTTCACCAAGTAAAAACCCCTGTACTGGTAGTTTAAAAAAAGAAAACTAGACAATTAAAATTAGGACATCAAATGAAAAATCCCCCATTAGCGCAACCTCAGCATATAGATAGTCTAAATTTAGGATTTTCTAAGTTTACATTTTTTTAAAGTTAAAAAACAAAACAAAACACTGTAACATCTCACTTATCTATTCGATGGTATTTTGGATTAGTAACTTTTTCAGATAACTCGTTACCCCTATTGAGTGCCAAGAAGCATTTCCTTTGTAAGCATTTTTATAGAATGAGGAGGGAGCCTGGGCGGGGTGCTGAACCTCTCCGAGCCTCACAACAGGGATAGTACAGCCGGCTGGGGCGGGGGGGGGGGGGGCATCTTGAGGATTAGCAGACGGTGAAGGTCAAACCTGGACATATAATGGGTGTTCAACAAACAGTAGCTCCCCTCTACTATCTATCTACCCCACTCCTTTGCAAAACTGCGTTTCTCTTCTTCCTACCCTGAATAATCCCATTTTGTTAGACTTTTCGGTTCCTGTCTCCCCTCTCTGTATTTTTAATGTTTCCTGCTTCGTTGTGCCTGCCCACAAGAAGCCTTCTTCCAAACCTTTCTAAATTTGCTCCTTCCAGTCTGAGGCGATCACATCACCAAATGTAGTGAAATGTCATTTAGAATAGTTAAAAGCACTGAGTCAGTGTCAGAGTGTATTACTCCATGGATAAAATAAACAGACGAAATCGGCACGGTGCCTGGCGGTCAGGTGCACAGTCCCTGACTCGCCCTCCTCTGCTGGGAGCCCTTGGGCCAGGCACTTAATATCTCTGGGCTTCAGCCTCTCATTGATGAAGTGACCGTAATAATAATATCTATGGTCAGTGTGAGGGTAAATGAGATCATTCATGGAAGGAGCCCAGGCATGTAATAATACTATGTAAACATTAACTACTTTAGTCTAGTCTTCTTTAGCTCAGAGACTTTTAAAAATTTCTTGTGTGTGTTTTTAGCAAATGCTCTTCATATCAGTAAGATACCGTCATAGGATAATCTTACCTAATTCATTAAACTTAGTAAAACCCTTAGGCCTTATTGTATAATTCTCTATAGAAGACATTTTCTTACTGAAAATATGAAAATGAAGATACTTCCGTAAGGTCAGGATACTCTGTCAGTAGCTGCTAAAATCCTGAATACCTATTCAAAAAGATAAACTCTCTTTTTTTCATGGTAATTAATTTGTGAAAATAAAGTAGATCCTTCAAATGAAGTCATTTTTTTGTGTTATCTTTATGTAAGATTTGGGGAATGTATTTAGTATTTGAATATTTTATGTACAGTTACTTATTTCTCTGCTACAAATTAGAAATTCAGTGCAAATAATCTTGTATTGTTTCAGAACATAAATATAATAGTCTTAGCCTAATAAAATGAATATATCCAGTACATAGGACTTAGGCAATGCCCGTTTGTTGAGCAAAGCCAGCAGTGCCTGTGTTTATAGCAAAGATGAAATGCCAAGATATAAACATGGCTTTCTGTGGTGAGTTAATGCTAGGGTTGAAATTGAGAGTCTGTGGCTTTCATTTGGTCCACCAGACTTTGTTCCTTCCCATGTTGCTATGGAGATTGTATTAAAAGCATTGACATCAGTTTCTATCATAGTCTTTAAAGTACTTTCTTTTGTAACTGAAAACCAAATACTTGAATTCAGTAACTTACTGCTGAAAATAAAATCAATATTTTTGATATCATAAACTCTAAAAGGTCTTGATAATAATATTTTTAAGTTTTATAATATATTCAGTTTAGTTTGCATTGCTTGTCATAAAATAATGCATTGTATCAGCCAATATCGAAATTAATGTAGACATCTGGCATTATTTTAAAAGAACATATTGGATATTCTTCTAAAATACCAAGTCCCACACAAGTGTTAGTTTCAACCTAAATTTTAGTACAGAATTCAGTAAAAAGAAATTATAGTATTTTGCCTAAACAATAGACACCCAAACCTTCAAATATCCATAACAGAGAAGAGCGACTAGTATATTCGTGACTTTGAATCCTTATAAGCATAGCAAGTGTTCAAGCTTATGTTCATTTATTAAAATGGAGAACATCAACATAGAAGGTTATTATTATAACAGCGTGTCTGGCTTTCCCCCACACAATCATGATTATTTACACAAGTTCTGTATTTCTCATTAGGAAATCAGGTTAGTGAAGCTTTTCAGAGGTGCGTATTCGTTGGCTAGGAGTGCTGTAACAAAATGCCACAAAACTGAACGACTTAAATAAGAGGATATCTATTGCCGCACAGTTGTGGAGGCGAGACGTCTAAAATCAGCATGTTGGCAGGGCCAGTCCCTTCTGAGGGCTGTTGAGGGAAGGGTCTGTTCCAGGCCTCTCTCCTTGGCTTGGAGATGGCTGTCTTCTCTCTGTGTCTTCACATCATCCTCTCTCTGCGTATGTCTCTGTGTCTATTGCTGAGGACACCAGTAGGCTGGGCCCTTACTGACTCCTCCTCACTTAACTAATTACACCTGCAATGATCCTGATCCCAGATGATGTCACCGTGTTACTCTGCTCGGGCTACCATAACAAAATACCATACCTCGGTGGCTTAACCAACAGAAGTTCATTCTTGGCAGTTCTGAGGCTGGAAGTATGGAGTCAGGGTGCACCTGGAGAGAGCTTTCTTCTTGGTTTGCAGATGGCGCTTTTTTGCTGCCTCATGTGGCAGAGAGTGTGAGCACACGGGCACAAGCTCTCTGTTGTCTCTTCTTTTTATGAGGGCCCTATCCTCATGACCTCATCTAAACCTAATTATCTTCAGAAAGCCAGATACCATCCAGTACTCCAGATACCATCGCATTGGACGTTAGGGCTTCAACATATGAATTTGGGAGGATACAGTTCAACCCGTAACATTCTGGTCCAAAAGTTCATGTCCTTCTTGCATGCAAAATAAATTCATCCCATCCCGACACCCCCCAAATCCTAACGCATTCCAACATCAACTCGTTTAAGTTAAAAAATCTCATCTGAAATATCTAAATCAGGTATGGGTAAAACTTGGGTATAGTTCATCCCAAGGCAGGACTCCTCCAGTTATGAACCAAGTTATCTGCTCCAATATGTAATGTTTGGACAAGCGTAGAATAGACATTCCCATTGCAAAAGGGAGAACATTGGAAAGGATAAAGAGGTAATGAGTCCCAAACAAGTCCAAAACTTAGAAGGGCAAATTCTGTTAGATTTTAAGCTAAAGAATAACATTCTTTGGCCCAATGCTCTGTCCTTTGGGCCCACCACAGTGGTGCACCCCCCTCGGTCTTGGCAGGGGGTGGGGGGCGCCTGTCTTCTAAAACCAAGAAAGTTGCCCCATCCCCGGGTCCTTCTTCCCTTTCCCTGATAGCTCTCTTGCTCCTTTCCTGCTAGGAGAATGCCGGAAGCCTGACAGCCTTTTCCATTCTGTCCCCATCTCTCTCCCCTTCAGTCCAGGCTGTCAGCATTTCCACTGAAATGGTTGACTATATGAACAGTTGTCCCTTGGTGTTCTCTCCAGAGCAAGCTTTCTCATTATTTATAATATGGAGAGCCTGAGAATGTTCCAGATCTTCAAATTCTGGTTCCTTTTTGCCTAACAGTTCCCTTGACTTAGCTCCCTCCTCTACCATTTTACTGTGAGCAGCAAGGAGAAACCAGGCCATGCCTTCAACCCTTTGCTTAGAAATCTCCTCGGCTAAACATCTGGGATCGTTGCTCACAAGTTCTGCTTTCCTTCCAGCAGAACACAGTTCCGTCAAGTCCTGTGTGCTTTATAATCCCCTCACCTTTCTTCCAGTTTCTAATAACACATCCCCCCTTTTTGCCCAAGACCTCAGCAAATGCACCTTCAATTCAGTATTCTGGTGAGGACAATGTATGTATTCTCTAAGACAGTAGAAGCTCTGTCTACAGCCCCCCTCTGTCCTTTGTGAGCTTCACCTGATACTCTTTAATGTCTGCATTTCTACCAGCAGTTTCTTTAAGGCAGTGTAGGCTTTGTCTACCATGCAGCTCGGAATTCTTCCACCTTCTACTCGTCACCCAGTTTCAGAGCCACTTCTAGATTTTTAAATATTTGTTACAGCAGCTTCTCACTTCCCAGTAGCTATATCTGTATTAGTTAAGGGTTGTCCAGAAAAATGGAATCTCTATCTGTATCTGTATATAGAGAGATTAATTGATTTTAAGGAATTGACTCTCACAGTGGTGGGGGCTGGCAAATCCAAAACTGTAGGGCAGACTGGCAGGTTGGAAATTCAACAGTTGATGTTGTAGTCTTGAGTCTGAATTCTTCAGGGTATAGGCTTGAAACTCAAGCAGGTCACTGTCTTTTTTTTTTTTTTTTAAGATTTTATTTATTTGACAGAGATCACAAGTAGGCAGAGAGGCAGGCAGAGAGAGAGAGAGCAGGCTCCTTGCTGAGCAGAAAGCCCGATGTGGGG